TGCAGTGGTTCCCTGAGGCAGCTGGAGGCTTCCTCCCCAGAGAAGTCACATAGGTGGCCATGGAGGGCCCAGGCTAAAAGTCATCCCAATAGAGAACCTGGGCCCTGCTGCTAAGAACATGGTCCTTCCCATACTCCCATGCACACTGTATACCATCCTCCTCAGGCCATGGGGATATAAAAAATATAGAAAGAGACTCACATCATCCAACAATTTGTTTCCCTCTGGATCCATCTTAGAAAGTTCTCGAAATGCTTCATCTCCAACAAAGCAAATTTCATGTCCATCCTACACCAGTAAAGAAAAAAAAAATAATTCAGCAAAAAAGGAGTCTGAAGAGACCCTGATGAAGTCGGTCCATCTCCTAGCTGTAACACTTACAGGGTCGGCCAGGATGACGACTTGCACTGTTGCCTTCCCAGGGGTATCAAGGCTCACCAGGGGAGTCAAGATCTTCTGATTCTCCCTTTTCATCAAGTCTTCTAAGTCTGGCAACTTGAAGAAAATAATATGGTGAAGTGAGCAAAGGTCACAAGCTACCTCTATGACATGGCCCTCATTAGTGTGAGGGAAGCAACTGATCAGAAAGAACCAAGGCACCACTTGTTTGATTTTGTTATCTCAGTAGTTTTTCAAACAATCGTTTAACTTGATACCAAAGCCACAATCACAATGACTGTAAGAAAGGAAGACCAAGGTTGTCACCTGGGTTGCACTAGTTTGTCAATGAGCATATACAAAAGATCAGGTATTCAAACCTTACCTCTTTCTGGGGACAAGAAAAGGCAATTCTTCCAAAAGCTGCTGCATGATCAACTGAGCCCTTGATGCCCTGGAGCTCCAGCTTACACTGAAAAGAAATAAGAAGGTGGTTTATACTTTCATGCAAGTTAAACATGCATGTGGTTAAAATAAAGTCCCCTCCTGCCATCCCAGACAGTCAGCTATTTCTCATGTATCCTTCTAGATACATTTCCTACCTCTCTTCCCTCATTCTTTCATCTTCTTTCTTTCCTTTGCTTTCCTTCTTTCCTCTCCTCCCCTCCCCTCCCCCTTTCTCTCCCCTCTCTTTCTTTTCTTTTAATGGTATTTGGAATGGAACCCAGATTTCATTCATTGGCTAGGCAAACATGCTAAATATTCTACTACAGAGCTGCACCTCCAGCCCTTCTGAATTTTTATTTATGTATTTTTATAGCAGCACTGAGTGTTGAACTCAGTGTGGTCTGAGCTCCTTTTTCAACCTTTTTTAGTTTCAGACAGTCTGAATTGTCCAGATTTGCCTAGAACTTATGATCCTCATGCCTCAGCCTCTGAAGTAGCTGGGATTGCAGACCTGCCACTGCACCTAGCTCTATGTTTCTTTTTCACACAAATGGTAGCACAAAACCACACAGAACATAAAGGCTTATAACAGTCTTTTTGATAGCTATATAATAATCCCTTCTATTAATGAGCCCTTCAAATACCACTCTAATCCATAAGACATAGTTTCTTATGTTTTGCTAATGCAAATAATGTTACAACAGATAACTTCATAGTGTGTATTTTTTTTGGTACTGAGAATCAACCTCAGGACCTGTATTTGCCAGGCAGTTGCTTGTGCCGCTGAGCTATATCCCCAGTCCCATAATAGATAACTTTGTATACACTTCTTTTTGTGTTTGAAGAAACCATCTGTAAAATAACTCTAGGAAGTTGGATTGCTGGGTCAGAGTACAAGGATTCAATCAGGTTCAAATGCTAGGTTATGATTATTGATTAAACCTTGTTTATATCTTTTCTGACTAAGCTATTTCTCTGCTTGCTCTTTTGTGTTTTGGGGGTGCTGGGAATTGACCCAGGGCCTCAAAATATGCTAGGCAAGTTCTCTACCACTGAGTCACATCCCCAGCCCATTCTACTTCTAAAAGGATATATCCCCAATTAGAAAAAATTCCTCGAGATCACTCACCTGGTTCTCAGCATAGCCCAGCAAGGCCCTCTGCTTTTCTTCATCCTGTTCATAAATGTTCATTCCCAGGAGACCAGACCAGTAGTTCAGGGATTTCTGAAGGTCAGACACCGCTAGAGTTACTTTTAAAACAGGATCTGCAGGAGAATAAACAGTAGAAAAAGACAAGTCAGTTCACAGGAGTGGAATAAAAACACCCAAAGAGGTTTGCTTAAGTACATGTTAAGAGTGCAGTTTATGGGGCATAGCCTACTGGTGGAGAGCATGCCTAGCTCGTGTAAGCTCAGGTTTGATCTCAGCAATCAGTGCCCCCCAATCCATTTAGGTGATGACAAGAAAGGATTTTAAGTCAGTAAAAAAGGACATATTATTAAAAAAATGATACTACAGTTGGACATACCGGGACATGCCTATAATCCCAGCACTGGGAAGGCTGAGGCAAGAAGACTGCTGTGAGTTCAAGGCCAGCCTAAACTACATAGCAAAACCCTGTCTCAAAAAAACCAAAAGGAAAAAAAAGGAACAAAACAAAACAAAGCCAGGGAGATAGCTCAGTGGAGTAAGTGCTCGCCTGGCAAGTGCAAGGTCCTGAGTTCGATCCCTGGTTCCACCAAACAACAACAACAACAACGGAAGAATGCGATGGTTACATATCTGAATTAAATAGCAAAACACATTCCTTTTTTTTTTTTTGTGGAACCAGGGATTGAATTTAGGCCCTTGTGCTTGCCAGGGAAGCACTTATTCCCCTGAGCCATCTCCCTTGCCCAAAGTATACAGGTTTTATTTTTATTTATTTTTGCAATATTGGGGATTAAATTTATGATCTTGCACTTGCCAGGGAAGCGCTTATTCTACTGAGCTATCTCCCCAGCTATATACATTTTTCTTCCTTTTTTTTTTTTTTTTGTGGAACTGTGGATTGAACTTAGGCCCTTGTGCTTGCCAGGCATGCACTTATTCTACTGAGCCATCTCCCTGGCACAAAATACATTCCTGATGGGTCAAGAAATTAAGTTTAAAGAATGAAACAATAAAATATAAACACAGGTGACCATTTACATAATTTTGGGTTGGAAGCTTTGTGTTTACATCTGAGACAAAGATAGAAAAATTATATTTAAAAAAAGGGGCTGGCGATAGATATAGCTCAGTGGTACAGAGCCTGCCTGGCAAGGACAAGGTCCTATGTTCAATTTCTGATTTAAAACAAACAAACATAAATAATATCAAAAAGAAGTTTATTAGGCTAATCACACAAGATGGAAAACCATTAGACATCAAAACAAAAGAAGAATCTTGTATTATGAATAACCTCTAAGAAGACAATAATATGCAACACATTAATTATTGAACTTGTCTTACTAATCGGTTTTGAAACTGTTTCATTGCTATTTGTTTCTCAATAAAATTAATAATAATAATAAAAAAGAATTATAGGGCCAGGATGTAGCTCAGTGGTAAAGTCCTTGCTTAGCATGCACAAAGCCCTGGGTTCTATTCCTACTACTGGGATAAAAAAGGAATTGCAATTAAAATTAGAGTAAACAATCAAGCAAGGAAACATTTTTGGAATACTCAAGACAAAAAGGCTTTAGTATCTAAATCCACTAAGTGGGGCCAGGGAGATAGCTCAGTAGATTAAGTGCTTACTTGGTAAGCGAAAGGGTCTGAGTTCAATCCCTGGTTTCCGCAAAAAAAAAAAAAAAAAAA